TCATCGCAATCAAAGAGCATCTACTGTTCTAGTCAATTTGCTTATTTTTATCCAAAGCATAACTACGAAAAATATCTTAATATAGACATATGAAATTCGAAATTTTCCTCAATTATCTGTAGCATTTCATAACTTAGCTTTAGATAGAAATGCTTTATAGTAAATATCAAAAATCAAGAGGCACATTTATAGCCAAAAGAAATTACCTATTTTTTATGCAAAACACTGATAAATCGACATTTAAATTATCAATGTTATACTAAAATATAATTCCCATCTCCATACAACTATATTATTTATAAATCAAAATATACAATTGGAGAAGTTAAATTGAAGAAGGTACATTTAGAAATAAGCAGAGATGGTGTATGATCCTGCTTTAGGATCAATATTATAAGTTTCCGATAGTTAGAGATATATAATTTGCTCACTAAGATTAAGAAAAAATTTTCATCCTGAGTGTGATTATCAAACTAGGCAGGCAGATTTGGCAGAAAATTGAACTGAAGGTATCACATATTAGCATAAATTTTATAATAACTTTTTATAAATGTTTATACAATTTTTCAAAGAAATGTTTTTTTTTTTTTTTTTTTTTTTGAAAATGCCATTTTTTGGCAAATTGAAGTCCGACAATCAAAGAGGTACATTTATACCCAAAAGAAATGACCTATTTTTTTATGCAAAACACTGATGTCTCAAATTACATCCAATTTATGAGTTCATGAGGCTTTACCTAAATATGAATCGTTTTTCATATCATGTTAGAGTCATATGTAAATTGGTTTTTTACATTTTATGTTTGCTTTAACATTCTTTAAAGCGCTTACAACCATTTTTAAAAATTAATTATAAATATGATTCTAGCATTATATGTAATCGACCTTTAGGAGTTTAGTAGAAGATAAGGAGTCAAAACGCTAGGTAACACATGATATTAGAGTCATACGTAAGTGACTGTTTGTCACGATTATCTATAGCATACTTTTAGATACATTTTATAATATATATGCCAAATATATCAAGATATGACATAATCGCGATATGGAACTTCAAAGTTAAAATATTCTAGAATCCTGATAAAATGTTATAACGAGAAAGAAAATTAAATTTAAAATTATGAAAAGACCGATTAAAGATTATCTAAAGTGTGTTTTTCAAAATTTATATTTTACATTTTGGTAAGGTGCTCCCAGTAAATTTTAAATTCATAAATAACGCTAATTTCTATACTCTGAAACACTTGCATTTTAAATTCTGGGGTGCGTCTAAAAGTATACCATTAAAATGCTACAGATAATTGCGGAGAAATTCACTTTACATACGAATCTAACATTATGTGTAATCTAGCCTTACGGGCCTGCCTCTGTATGACAATTCGAAAGTGAATTCGAATTAAAGATACCGTTCCAAATATGATTTTCACATTATATATGGAAAAGAAGTAAGGAAAGGTCAAAAGTCGGGCGAGCCCGACTAATGATACACTACACCACTATGCGTATTTATTAGAGTTCCAGAAACAAACAAAAAAAAAAATACTTATAGTTGGAATTTATGTGAAGTAGATTATACCAACTATGAACCTTATTTGAATGCGTAATATGGCTTCTGAGTAGTTGCATTTTGGGAACTATATCCGACTCTGAATCGATTTTCAACAAATTTTACGGAGGCTTTTGTGTCTCTAGTACCAAACAAGTAAGCAAAGGCTACAGTCGAGCGGGGCCGACCGTTGAATACCCTACAACACTGTAATAAACAATACAGTTTATATAGGCAAGATACTCGAAAGAATTCCACAAGATATTGTGTTAATTAATTAATCTTCGAATAATAGCAACTTAAACGAATTTGCTCATTTCCAATTTATGGGTAGATGTTGCACGTAAATGGTTTTCCTAGATCTGGAACCAATGTTTCCCAAGGACCTATTATCTCTCAGAAGTGGCAAAAGATTAACATTTATTATTGGTTTTTGACTGAAACGCATCTATATGAGATACAGACATTTGAATATATTCTTCAACGAAATCAGCGTTAACGAAATAGTCAGAAGTGCGTCTTTCCTGTATTTGTGAATTCTCCAAAAAGTCACTGGAATGGACATTTTCGTATTTAGTCTACAAAAGTTGGCAAACTATTTCACACATTGAATATTTTTGGATGGCCATCCGAAACTGCTTGGCTTTTACAATGTGCGGAAGCCCCCATTCAAATGTGCGTGAGGATCGGGCGATAATTACTATCTGTTGACAATTTTGCAGTTTTTTGGTCCATTTCAACCCCTAAATATATGGCGATCATCTCCAAAAAGAGTAGGCTTCTATTCTGACCCTCATCTGATCCCCATGCAAAATTTCGTTAGGATCGGGCCATAAATGCGATCTGTATATGATATCCTGATATCCTAACTACTTAGTTTTGTTAGCTGTAGAAATATTACCAAATGTTTAATTCAAAATGAAAATATGCCAAAAATATGACAAAATTGAAAAAATATGAAAAATGTTACAAAATCAATATTTTAATCTTTAGAGAGATATTTTTATGCGATTTTTTTAGACGTTTTTTCTTTCCTAACAAGAGACCATTCTGAATTAATGAGAACTGTCGAAATCAGTTCAGCCGTTCTCGACATATAAGAGATCTTTCAAGCATATCTTCTTTGATAGACATATATATCGCACATATTTTGCTATACATCCGATTTGTTGGATGTTAACATCAATGTAAAGGTCAGAAGTAACCTTATCATGGCTTTGTGATTACGCCGGGATTTAAAATATTCACGGTTTAATGAAAAATTTTGAATTTTTTCAACACAAAAGATATGGTCTATTTTACCCGCTAAATATTATCTGATGACCATCCAAATTGGTAGGCTTCTTCCCCGCCCTAAACACTAGCTACATGCGAAATTCCGCGTTGATTGGTCAATAATTGCGACCTGTATAGCTACTGCAAACTCCGACATTTTTTCAGTATTTGGTCCATTTAAACCCCTAAACATTTGGCGATCATCTCCAAAAGAAATAGGCTTCTATTCTGACCCTAACCCCACCTCCATTTTAAATTTCGTGAAGATCGGACCATAATTGCGACCTGTAGAGTGATTACAAATTAACATGGACAGACGGACAGACGGACGGACGGACATACATAGCTAGATCGACTCAGCTCGGCGAGCTAGGAAGATCCATATATACTTTCCTATATGGGAAACCAATATTTCGAGGTGTTACATAAATTCTGGCCCAATCAAACTTATAATACCCCCAACACATAGTGTTGTAGGGTATAAAAACATATAGTGCATGATATGACTTCGATAAAGATTATATTACAAAATATCTATTCCAGCAATAGATATATCGGACCGAGTTTCACAAAATGGAATATGAAAAAATCTATCCAATTTGGGCTGATATTACATATATGGTGAACAATAACTTTGAAATCGGATGAAGATGTATATCGAAGGTATATAAAGATCTGAACCGATCTCGAAAACATTTGATAGAGGTATTTTCGAGCTGTATCTGATGTCGAGTACATATTACGTATGTGAGTGACTTTAACACTAAATCGAATGAAACATATATATGGAGCTATAGCTATGTTTGAACCAATTATCACCAAATTTGAAGTATTTATTTCTAGGATAATTCCATTGGAATTGCCAAGATTCACTTCATTTGGGCTGATATTAGCGGATAAAGATATTCATGGAAGCTATATCCAAATCTGATCCGATCCAGGCAAAATTTTGGGAACTTATTTCTGAGCTGTATCTGATATCTAATACCAAAGATCATTGTTGTGGAGTGCATATTACTCATGAGAGGTATTTAAAACCCCAAATCGGACGAAACATATATATGGGAGATATAGCTATATCAGAACCGATTTTCACCAAATTTGAAGTACATACTTCTGGGTTGATTGTGGTCGGAAGTGTCAAAAATTCTTTCCATTTCGATGGACATTAACTATCTCTTGCACAATAAACCTGAAGTCGGTCGAAAATATATATCTAAATTTGAACCGATTTTTTTCAATAGGGTTCGTCCTTGGGCCAAACGAATATTGTTTGAACAATTTCCTCTCAATTGGATAATTAATGCGACCTGCAATTTGTTCACATAAATACATGGACAGACGGACGGTTAAACGGACTGACATGCATAAATAGACTCAGAAAGTGATTCTATGAAGTAACTGTGGGCCTATCTCGCTTCATTCTCCATGTTACAAACAAATGCATAAAGACATAATACCCTTATCGCTATGTGGTGTAGGGTATAAAAAAGAATTTAAAACTTAACTGCCCGAACAGACCTTCGATAAATCGACATTTAAATTATCAGAGTTATACTAAAATATAATACCCATCTCCATACAACTATATTATTTATAAATCAAAATATACAATTGGAGAAGTTAAATTGAAGAAGGTACATTTAGAAATAAGCAGAGATGGTGTATGATCCTGCTTTAGGGTCAATGTTATAAGTTTCCGATAGTTAGAGATATATAATTTGCTCACTAAGATTAAGCAAAAAATTTTCATCCTGAGTGTGATTATCAAACTAGGTAGGCAGATTTGGCAGAAAATCTAACTGAAGCTATCACATTTTAGCAATTAATTTTATAATAATTTTTTTTATAAATGTTTATACAATTTTTTAAAGAAATATTTTTTTTTTTTTTTGAAAATGCCATTTTTTGACAAATTGAAGTCCTGACAATCAAATTTGTCTAAAGTTAACTTATCCCCGAATTCGGCTATAGTTCTCTCTGACTAAAGGCTACTTTAAAGATAACTCAGAAAACTTTCATAGTACCAACTTCATAGAACCCATGAATTGTCAATGGGCAAATCAATAAGGATTCTTCAATTCAACTTCTCCTTTCAAGCTACAAAAGATATAGGGACGAGAAAAGCAAAAGCATGCGGGTGATAGGAAATGGTGCACAAAAGTTATTCAAACACACACCTCCAATACTTCTACCATATTTCAGTGGGCGCTTTTTGCGTTTTCCGCCTTCCTCCAGAACATCAAAATCGCTCAGTGCATCCAACAGTCCCAGCGATAAATGGTCCGTTGATGGTTCTTGTTCAACGACTACGGTTGTAACGTCGTCGCCCTTCTTTCGTTTACGTCTCTTATCTTTAAGGGGTTTGCCCTTTCTCTTAGCCGGTTTCACTTTGTGGACAACTTCCTGAACATGATGTTCAGCTTCTGCTAATTGATGTTCTAACGGTTGTATAACCAATAGATTAGCAGCTTGTGATGCAATGTCATGTTGGCTGCCTTTTTTCTTGTTCTTATTTCTGTTGCCCTTCTTCCTCTTGAAACGATCGTTGGCATCTTTTAGCTCGTCCGTGGTGTGCTGATCGCCATTATCGTGCGATTCAATTTCAATGAATTCATTGCCATTGGATGCATTGTCATTGATGATGGCGGTATTTTTTGAATCACCCTCGTCCTCTTCATCATCGTTGTCATTATCAGTTTCATCTTCGTCATCATCATCATCATCACCATCGCCTGCTTCGTCATCATTTTCCGTATCATCAACTTCATCGTTTTCACTGGGTGCTTGATCGTTTTGTATATCGTTGTGTACTTTAAAACTTTGACCATAATCATATTCTCGCCCAAGAAATCTAAATGAAAAAAATTGTTTTTATTTTTCGAAGGTATATTTGTGGCATATTGGCATTCTCTTACCCATCTAAAGATTCCGATAGGTACTCCTTCATGTAGTTGGTACCAATTTCGATTTTCTTTAAAATTGTGGATGGTTTCTCTTTGATCACTAATTCGGAGGCACTGTATCCACGTCTCTCCAACGTTGCATTTAGTTGCTGATCGGCTTCAACTGGAATTGGAAAAAATTTAATTTAGAAAAATTAATAACATTTATTAAATATGTATAAATTTTTTCTATTAATTTTTTTTAAAGATAACGTATGGCAACGTGGAATCCCTCTGTTTTTTAGATGGTACAACTCCCCTAGAAATTTTCTATCTAAAACTATTTCAACGTCTCCATATGTGAACCCAAGAATACAAGAGTGACCAGAGGCCATTTACCCAATACCGAATAAAATTCAATTTAGGACTTTTCGAAAAAGTAAATATACGTTTCCAAATCTAAAGTACATATTGTGAAAACTACCTCCATATCACAATCCTACACTCCGCCAGTATTGTTAACTTCAAATTTCAGGATTCCAGCTCCATCCGGTCCCTCAAATTCAAATTGTACAAAATTTAGTACCGTTTAAAACTTTTCGTATACATGATACACATACTTCCAAAATTACCTCCTTACATCCTCCAAATGCAGAACATTTTAGTACTTTTGGTACACTCCTTCGATTACACACTCTATCAGTGGCCCTCACTTCAAGTTCTACCTCTACAGGTTCGTCAGAAATAAAGGGTAGCATATTTAACACATTTTAGAACTTTTCGTACCATCCTAGTACGAATTTCCAAAAACCTAGCCTTATCTGATACCCTCGGACCAAAAATGACCCCTACCTAATTTCAAGACGATAGCTTCAGTCGTTTCGTCTGGGAGTTGATGAATCATTAAGTCAGTCAGCCGTTTCGTCTGGACGTTGATCAATCATAAAGTCAGTCAGTCACGCAATATCTCAGAAGTTCGACTCACGGCGAATCTATCATTCTGGCTTCTTAATAATATACTATGCAATTTCTCAAAAAGAATTCTCCCACCCCATTTTTGATCCCTTTACTATGTCACAATGTAATCGGTTCCGCTTAGTTGAACTAAAGGACTTTACTATAGCAACAGAGTATTTTTCTTGCCATTAACTTTTGCAGACCCCCAATATAATTTCCTCAAACTTAAGCTAGTAAAAACACATAAATCATCTAAACATTGCTACCACGTCTCTTTTGGCATTGACAGACACTCGTCAATTATCACTGTCACCACAAAACAGACCATGGACAATGAGACAAGCCGACACTGGCGTTTAACTCCTCTTTATGAGTTGAACATTATATATGTTAGCCAGTGTGCGCATGCGCATAAAAATACATAAATCGTTTCCGAGATACATTGTAAACAAAGATGTAATAACTCTATTTAAAGAGGACGGCTAACTCATTGCAGATCTTTTTTTCCCCACATCAAAAGCAATTTTATTGCACAATTTAAAAAATTAAATATCCAACAGATTACACAATAGCGACCGCAACTTACCTTTCAACTTTTGCCACTGCGAGTGCAGCTCATTGTCCCAGATATCCAAAATACGACCAGATTGTTGGCGTGCACAAGACCAGGGTTCCGCTCGTATTGGGCATAATACTAAATCTAAGTATGGTGATACTTCTGAAAAGAAAGGAAAATGAAACCATAACATCAAAGTAGGGCTTTACGATATTTTTACACTTTTTAATTGTGCTATGTTTATAACTATTTATGGCATTTAAAGAAGAGGTAAGTAAATCATTTACTTTGGTTACGCTTTGTTTAATGAAATTCCAGTTCGGCTTTGTAATGCGTGTGTGCATAGATGTAAAAGCAAGGCAAAAACAACTGCCAGTCTAAGGGGAAACTGCATGCGCCTAACGTTATTGGATCTTCGCTGCAGCATCGTTTCCAAGCTGATAAGTAAATAAACATTTGGAGAAAGTTGTGTTTATTTGGTCGGTTGATTGCCGCCGTCTCTATGCCTTCGTATCTCTCTTTTGGAGTTGCCTAATTTTTAATGCTATTGTATTCCACTATTCTCAATAAAATAATTGTCATGGCATGCCTTGTTAGCACGTAATGCGATTTAATGATGTTTTCAAACTGTGCTTAATTTGTTGCCAATCTGAAATATAGTTATCAAATCGCTGAGGACACAATTTTAATACACACCTCGTAAAGCCTTATTTATTTGAATTTTGCATACATAGTTACATACGTATTTAGAGTGCATATAAGACGTAAAGATTTACAGCACCGTTTTGAGAGAATTTTACAATTTTTTGGGTCCCATATTTCACAAATTTACAGCGAAGTGCAAATTTTTTCAGATATAAACAAGGTTTAACAGAGATTTATGACATTTTCTCATGGTACAGATTGAGTATAAAAAGATTTTAGATTTTATGAATTAGAAAATATTGATCCACTCCCTCGGTATCATCCCAATAAAGGAAAAATAAATATTTTGAATAATCAAGTCAAAATATATTTTATTATCAGACATAAGCTGAGGGTATGTATGTGTCGACCAAATCGACTGATATATTTTAACTTGTTAACCGTATTTTCAATAAAGGACGAAAACACAACTTTATTGACTCGCTCGCAATTTCGTTCAAAATAATTCTCTTAGAGGTGTGAACTTGCTGGGGGTACAGTTTAATGCGGGCTATAAAACTTGAAAGCTGTGAGAGCCGAACTTATTTATGTGTAAATACAGGGAGAGATAAAAAAACTGCAACAAAGTCAAACGCCATAATTTTCAAATTTTTCTTAATTTTATTGAATGAAAGCAAAAAATGTAGGAAATAGTATCAGATTTTAGCATAAGTTTAGATTTGTTCGAATTTGTCACCTTTATGTCACGAATTATGGCCTTCAAACGGTCAATGAAACCGTCACACGCTATCCGAATGTTGCACTGCGGTATTTTGATCCATTCCCGGCGAAGTGCTTGCTTGAGGTGATCGACACTTGGTATTTTTTAGTGCCAATCTTGCATTCCAAAATACTCCAGACACAATAGTCCAACGGATTGGTATCCGGAGATTTTGATAGCCATTGTGCGCTGGAAATGAAGCGAGGAACCTCATTTTGTAACAATTCTTGGGTGGCGCGTGCTGAGTGCGATGGTGCTGAGTCCTGTTGGAATGTCCAAGGTCTGCGGCCAAAATGTTTGCGTGACCAAGGCTTTAATACACCCTCCAGAATATTTTAGCGATAATATTCTGATGCCACGGTTGATTAATACGAGCGGAGAGCGACCATTCGGCTGTTATGGCGGCCCACAACATCACCATGACCGGCGCTTGAGTTCTGGTAGCCAACCGAAGGTGCACATTTTCAGCTGACCTCTTTGGCAAGTAAACTCGATCATTTTGTTTGTTTACAAACTGCTGGACAATGAATATTTTCTCAAATTCGGCAGTTCACCACTTTCGGACAAACGAAGCAACTCTTTACCTCTTTTTATTCATTTTTTTTTTTTGCTGTGTAAGTTCTTCCACTTTTTGGAATTTCAATGGCTTTTCAATATTTGCCGAATGGAATATTGCGATATGTTCAGCTCATGAACCATTTTTCGGCCACTGCGATGCGGGTTTCAATCAAGTCGCTTCTTTACTTTTCGAACCATTTCTGCTGATGTTGCTGTTTTCTTCCGTCAACTACCTTGACGTCGAACTACGCTACCAGTATCACGGTAACGAACGATGGTACGAGACACGAAAGATTTATTCATATTTAAATGGTGGAGTGCTCCAACGATAGCCACTTGTGGTTTTCCAGTCAAATATAAAGAAATCACACTATCACGCTTGAATTCCATCACGAATAACTTTTCTTCTGGAAAATTCTCAACAAAATGCTTTTGTACGCTTGTAAACAATATAATGAGCTGTCACTGGAATAATTTTTACAGCTGTCGGACGAGTGGTTTAGAAATGGCAACAGTCTGAATTTGGTTGCAGTTTTTCATCTCACCCTGTATAGCACCCTACAAATTGATATCGCCACCATTGATATTTTTCAAAAGCATAACTTCCCTACATTGCTTGCAACGCTGGGCCTCTTCGATTTAAATGAAAACAGCAAAAACTCAAAAGATTTTATCACTGCAAGTTTTTATAAGCAAACCTTGATAGATTGAAAAGATTTTACTGTCATCACATGACATTTTGTGGGAAATGTTATTGTAGGTGCGCGATCATATTTAAAATTGCTAACATTTTGCACATTTTCACTATTTGCCTCAATATTCCCAAGTTAGTAGTTCCATCTCAGTGAGAGACAGACTGAGGAAAACTAACAACAACCACAAAAAGGAAAATCATTGTTACTGATGTTTTCACGAACCGCTGTTTGCTTTGAAGCTTTCACTGCACAGATAACTGCAATTGTGGTTGTGAAGTGATTTTGATTTTGACTTTATTTAATCTGGTCCATATATCGTATTAAGCGGAATCAAATGCGCAACAAATCGAAATGAAATTGAAAGAAAAAAAAATATTTTGGTAAGGCATTGCCTGCAGCTATTGGCAATGAAAAGTTGAAATTATTTTTAATTTTGTTTTTCTCTTATATATGGTGATGACCTTGTGGGGTAATAATGACAATCTCTAGACGAGTCACGTTTTCCCAGAAGTGTTGATTGTAAAGTTTCGATATAAATTGTGTTTAATTAATATCCTCAATACTTTGGCGAAATGTCAAATGTATAAAAAACAAGTTAAAATGTATCAGTCGCTTTTACCGACAGATGTATACCCTCCGCAAAATATTACATTACTTAAATATATTTTGACTTATGTTATGATCATTCAAATTGTTAACCCTCTATGGAGTAGGTTCTGAGGGATAGGGGCAATATAAGTCCATATTCATCTCGGGTTTCTGGTCGGGATAAATATTTAGATATAGCAAGCTGTAAAAAATCGGGGACTTTTTCGCAAGTTATGACCGATAAAAGTACTGAAAATTGTGACCCATTGTGGGTGAGGTACCAGAAGGGTTTCGCGTATATATATCATCTTCACAATAGATCTTGTGTTAGCAAAAATGTTTGTGTATGTGAAATTTGAAGAGTGTTGGATGCTTATTTCGCTTTCTTTGAGCGTTTTGTTTGCCAAAATCTTGAACCCTATGTGGAGGAGGTATCAGAAGAAATGGTTCGATCTCGACTTGTGATAGTAATAATAATGGGATATGAGAAATAAGAAGCGAACCGAGTGCTTATTTCGGATTTAATGATCGTTTTGGTTATTCAAAACTTTGACTCTTTGTAGGGGAGGTACCAGAAGGAATAGTCCGATCCCTGTTATCTTTATAGCAGATCTTGTGTTGATGGAAATATTGAGATGTACCAAATCTGAATGGCATCGATGTTCATGGGTATTCAAAATGTTGACCCTTTGTGGGGGAGGTACCAGAAGGAGTAGACCGATATATTTTTATCTTCACATCTTCGTGATGTGTGCAATTTGGAGACAATCGGACATTTGCATCACATTTTATAAGAGTTATAATTCTACAAAAATTTAATCCTTTGTAGGGAAGGTACCTGTTGGAGTAGACCGATATTGTCCGTTTTCGCACCTGACCTAGCACTGATACAAATATTAGGATTTGCAAAGTTGGATTAACCTTTCGCCTTTTGTGCAGATTGTTTTCGTTTGGTTTTGGGTATTCAAAACGATGACCCTTTGTGGGGGAGGTACCAGACGGAATGGCCCGATCTCTACCATCTTTATAACAGATCTTGTGTTGAAGAAAATATTGAGACGTGCCAAGTCTGAATGGGATCGGGTGTTAAATTCGTGTTTTATGAGCTTCATAAATATTCAAAGTGTTGACCCTTTGTGGGGGAGGTACCCAAAGGATAGGACCGATATATTCCGCCTTCAAACCCGACCTTGGATTAATAAAAGTATTATGATGTGTGTAATTTGGAGACAATTGGGCACTTTCATCATGTATTATAAGAGTTATAATTACTCAAAATGTTAACCCTTTGTGCGGGAGGTACCTAATGAAGTGGACCGATACTGTCAATTTTCGCACCTGACCTAGGACTGATGCAAATATAAGGATTCGCAAAGTTGGAGCAAAATCGAATTATCCTTTCTTTTTCTGCACAGTAAATTACTTTCTTTGAAAATGTGGACATTTTGTGTGGGAGGTATCAAAAGGAGTGGACCAATATTGCCCATCTCCAAACTCGATCTAAGTTTGACAATAATATTACGATGTACCAAGTTTGGATCAAATCGGGTACTCGCTTCGAGGGTTATCGGGCGCACCAACCAGCTAGACGGACGAATGGACATCGCTAGATTGCCTCCAAATGTCCTGAAATGGATCCAAAGAGTCCTAGGGTATAAAACCGTTATTACGATGGGGCACGTTCTGGCCGTATCAAATGATATATACCCTCTCTAGCCAATATGGCTGAGGGTATAAAAAATTAATGGCTGCTGAGCATACAGTTTAAAAGTGGTTATACGGGGTTGTCCATATTCGACGGACCCATCTGGCAACGCCATAACTTTTGACAGAGATGTCACATCGCTTAGTGACATACCGCGTTTGAAGCGTCAGTCCAAGCAGATTTTTACCATGAACCAATACACGCCACGCGA